GACAACAGAGCAAGCTTCTACAGTTGCACTACGTTTTGATAACAGTTAAATATTATTTTGATAATAACATATATTTCAATGTTGATGAACTTTATACTGTTCATTCATAATCTGATTGTCTTTGTAGCTCACTGTTGAAATAAAAAAAAAACATTACAATTACAAAATAATTATATCTACAGCCCCTAAACACACAAACACACCGCTTTCATAAATAACACACTTGTTCTGCAATAATATGTTTTATGTTTCCTGTCATTTTTGTTAGGAAAGGACATGCCTGAAAGACACGACATTTTCTCCTTCTCTGAGGGTCAAGAACATCCAAGAGGAACATTAAAAGCTGATGTTATGAGATTTTAAGACCAGTACACTAAGAAACTACTTTTATTGTAAAAACAGTCAGCTGATCGAATGCACCTATTTCCACATCTACACTCCATCAGCTGATTATTTCTATTTGCCTCACTTATCGCTTGTGCCTTGTACCACAGAGTTTGCAACGTCACAAATAAATGGGGCCAATCTTCAGTCAGATGTGAATGTGTAATCTACATTAACATTTTCAGTAAGAATAATGGACAAAAGGAGTGCAAATACAAATACAATTTATTGAAATGTGAACCAAAAGTTAATCAAATGTTTTAAATAAAAAGCACATATGGACAGAAGGTGTAAACCTATTAAATGTATAAGTAAACACATTTAGTCAAATAAAGTGACAGACTAGGCCTGTGCAGTTGGTATCAGCTCCATCACACGGAGGTTTCTCCCTGAAGTCTCTGCTGCTCTCTGGACACCACGCTGTCTCAATCCGTCCACACTGAATATGAGAGGGGGAAAATGAAAATAATAAATGCTTTAAGAAACATAAAGTTGACTGTTGAGTTGCTCAGTTTTTTTAGATTGTCAATACTATTACTGTATAACTAATATCTCAGGTTAAGAGGCACATTCAAATAAAGATTGGTCTTTAAATACATTTTGTCTTTTGAATTGTTTGTCTAAAGTCAAGGATCTAGAACTGGTACTTAGTTTTAATGATACAGTCTGGTTATTATGCTGTTTGGAGGAGGCCTCACAGGTAAGAGCGCTAACTAGCTACCATGTACCTTAGCTTGACTTAAATATATTAAACGTATAATTAAGTGATATCAAAATATAAATAACTAATGTCATGCAAACTTAATATTTGCTTGATTCCAGGGTTGAATTTAGCACAATTACATACAAACGTTAAGGGATTTTAAGATTCTGAAATATTATGCTAAAAACTCAATAACTTAGATTATTATTTATAGTTTTGCTGAATAGTTTCATGTCCGTTTACCTTAGAAACGTAAAATGCCACGGCAGTGTGCAGATGGGGAGCATGTTAACTTAGCTTGGTAGCTTCAGCTAGCTCTGGAACTTCCAGCTCGGTGGTAGCAGGTCCCGCCTCGGCTCCGCCTCTTTGCCCTTATTTGGAACAGGCGGGAGTTGAACTCTGACGTCACTGTCGAGCCGTTAGTGGCCGACTCCGCCTACTAACGGCTTCTCGGCAATTCTGCAGAATCCTATGGGTGACGTCACGGACCCTACGTCCATTTATATATACAGTCTATGGATAAAACTCAACCTTTACATCTTATATGTACAGTCTAAGCTCTAGTCTAGTCTTCACGCTTAGAACTGAAAATGGACTCGTGGAGAAGCAAGCGAAAGAGGATGGGGCCCCCTAAGCGTTTAGTGTCAGAATGTAAGTAAGAATTGAAATTTCTTTTTTATTTTAGAAATCAGTAACACTGCTTCACGAAATCATCTCAATTGACACATGTATTACACTTTTTGTTCTGTGCTATCTGATTTGAGGTTGCTAGCTATACCACGAGGACCCACGTGTTACATAATACGGCAGTTTAAACTGTATTTCCTTTATCCTGTAATATGACTTGATCGATTTAAACTCCGCACACTGAGCTCTGATTGGTCAGCAGGCGGTGCTTTCATTGAGTTGATCTCAGACGCCGGAGGCGGGCAGCGTCAGGTAAAAAAAAGTTATTTAGCCTTCCCAAACCTGAGCCTCACGCGCCGCCTATGTATTTAGTCTACATTATGTTCCCCTTAATTTCCCCAAAAGTAGAAATGGGTCTGGGTTGTTATGGGTTAAATTGTCAAATAAACTCTGAAATATCTCAATTACGAAGGTTTAACGTTTTATCTTAACTCTTAAATAAGTAAATGACATTAGGGCGCTAGAAACGAGAGTATTTTTATTTTAACACAGTATTGGGCGATATGTAGGGTTGGGAACCGAAAATCGGTTCCAGATGAGAACCGATAAGAAAATGCCGGGTACCGGGTACCCGTACAAAATACACCTTTTCGGTTCTGCTTAACGGTTCCTAAACGCGGTAGACCCTGTATTCCAGCGGGTCCGTCTGTACCGCGGTGACCCGGTGGAATACAGGGCGGACCTGGAGAATCACAGAACGGCCGGCTCGGTACGCTGACGGCCGGCACCGCCCTTATTTTTTTTAAACGGCATCATGTAAGTTGCGCTGACAGGCGACAGAGGTCCACAGTTGCCCCGCAGCGAGGCTCCCCCCGCCCTCCCGTAGACAGTTCACGAGCTCAGTCACTTCATAACACCAAAGATGGGTCGCGGTAAACGCTCTGAAGTGAGGCTCCACTACACTAAAAAATAAAAAGACAATTGGGCACAGTGTTAATAGCTTGCCACAGGCATAGCTCAGTTAAAATAAAGCACAGCTATTGTGCAATACATTTGTATTGCATGTATATTTTTTATTTGTAACAATTTCAGTTAAAGCTGAAAAGAATAAAGATATTTTTGTTATCTAAACGTTTGACCCCTTTCTTTTACAATTTTGGAATCGAAACGGGGAATCGATAAGAACCGGAATTGATAAGCAGAACCGGAACCGGAATCGGAATCGATAAATTTCAAACGATACCCATCCCTAGCGATATGTAATGAAAATATAGTTAAACAGTACATTCATACATTCATTCAAGAGTGGCTTTTCAGATATCCAATTTTGAAATAGTTCCAATGAAGTTAACATATTTCGATATAGTAATGCTCTCTACATCAACAACTCTTTCTGTGCTCCATAATGTTACAGCGGCCAAAGATTTGGCTGATCAGTCTGAGGAAGAGCCATGCAGCTCCCACACTGTGGCAAAGGAAATGGGTAAGTGTTTGCTTTCAAATGTTAAGCATACTTTAAGGATCCACTCAGTCTCAGATGGTGTACCATTTACAAATAAGTAGTTGCTTAGCAGATAGCAGTAAAAAAACAATATGTAAACGTATAGTGGATTAAAGATGTCACATGCACAATAATGATTAAATAATTACTTATTGGCATCTGATAGCTTTAGAGAAAGAAAAAAAAACAGGCACATACACCAAGCCCTACAACATTTCTCATCACAATCCATGAGGCCATACATGCTTTCAGATGACTAGTTGCATCAGCGATTCAGTCATTTCACTGCAAACATATCATGACAAGCATATAGGACGGACAGCACCAAATGGTGGGGTGGAGCTTGACAGATCAGGCTCCAGCTCACTTCTCTCACTTATCAACCGACAGTGGAGGGTTGGATTGAGAGGGAAAGAACAGTCACTTGTTAAAATATGTTGAGTCCGTTTGTTCGGGGGAAACTTGGAACAGGCATATCACATGCCCCGTTTGAACTAGAGTCATGAAAATGATCTCACATATTCCATAAATCCTAAAGAACAAATTGTTTCAGTTACCTAACATTTCAGGTCACGATATTTTTCACTATTTCAAATTTAGTGAAAAACACTATGAATTTTCACCGATCTGCGTGAAACTCTGAACACACAATATAAGGTTTAAAGATTATTGTAAATGTTCTGACCCTTAGTGGTAACAATAGATATGTTCTAATCCTCTTGTTTGTTTCAGCTTTGGCCCTTCTAAAAATGGCATCAGTTAAGGCGCCAGTTACTTCTGAAGGTGACCAAATAGGGGCAGGCAACTCCTCTTCATCCTCCACCTCCTCGTCCTCCTCCAATTCCTCCAGTTCCTCCTCCTCCTCATCCTCTTCGTCAGACAGAGGGAAGAAGAGGAAGAAGAAGAACAAGAAAAACAAAGACGGCAAGAAAAAAAGAGGAAAAAAAGCGAAGAAGACAAAAGGAAAGACTGCAAAGAGAGGTACGTTGGCCTCCTACACAGTGTCTGACTTGGGAAGTAAGGAGGTAGGACTACAGTGAATTATGTGACAGACTGACCATTGCTCAGTGTAGAAGGAACAGCTAGTGAACAGGGCTAACCTGCATTAGCAGGTGCTGTCAGACTTTGTGTTCATACTGAAAACACTCAACTCAAACGGATTTGCACATTAAACTTAATTAGTGGGGGAGTGTCGCTACATGCCTTAGCTTGTTATCATCAAGGGGATCATTAAGGGAACGAATGCAGTCTGGTGTTGAAGTACAGTCGTACAATGTATTTTACAGCTCAATAAATACTTTTAGTATGCATTAAGTCTTTAATTTCAACAAATGTTCAAGTTACAATTGGGCGATGTGTACCCAACTGGACATTGACGATGTCCTCTGCGGCAGTGCTTGATCAGCTCCGGGTCCACGGCTCAAACTAAACTCTGCGCTTCATTTACCAATGCTTTTTTGTTATTTCTGCTTTAATACGTGTTACAATAATGGAGTCAGCTGTTTAACTATTATACATCGACCTGAGCTTATCCTCTCACTTTATGGCTGTTTAAAGTAATGTGAGTACCACAGTTAACTGTTACGAAACGGAAACTCTACCCGATCTTGTGGGGCAGGGAGGGGAGGGGCACCTTTTAACTCATGATGTGATGATGGTCAGGTATCCAACGGCGATGGCTGTCATACATGGCTGATGCACGATGACATTGTCCATCAGCCCAACCATAACTAGAGTAAAGTTTAGCCAGCCCTGCATCATCTTCTGGTTGTTTTTGTGTTTTTAAGTGGTTGGATTCAATAAAAGAGCTGAGCGTCCAAAAAATATGGTGGACACAAGAAAGACATGTTGCTGGATTCTTAAGGTAACAACTTATCTTGGTTGGTTATGAAGAAGGATCATATCAATATATAAATATACACAAATATTTGTTTTGAAATTCAGTTCTGTTGTTAACCTGGTTCTTGTCAAATATGTCCATAGCTACCGCAAGAATTGCTCCAGAACATTCTTTTGGAGGTAGTTCTGGACGCCGGAGACATGGCATATTTGACGCTTTCTCTGGTTTGTTGGAAAGTAAAAAATACCGTAAGCCAGGACACTTTCCGGAAAAAGGCACACTTTTTGTGGATATTGAGTAAGAAATATTGTATTTTACAAATTCAATTTAAATAAGCTTGCTAAATTAAACCTTAGGCTTATTGTTTTATACTTTCTTATTACAGGTGTGGACACAAATTGGTTTGACCATTCCGAGTCCTATCGCGAGGAGATGTCCACCATGTTTTGCATTTCGTCTTGTCAGTTTTGCAGAACGCAATTCAAAGATTGTTCAGGTTGGCATACAATGACATACTGTAGATAAAGAAGTTCTGTATTTCTGCTTCAGATGCTTTCAGTGCTTACATAGATTGTGAGATAGATTATATTTCCTCAAAAATGTATCAGTGCACGTCACTCAGTTAGCTTTAGACAATCAAGTGCTGTCACCATTTATTTTTTTCAAAGTAATCTAAACTATAGATGGCTGCCACCTGTAATTGGTTCGATCTAGAGAGAGTGAAAGTCCAGATTTTACTGAAGAAAAAGGAAATAATTTTGTATTCTCAAATTTAGCTGAAAAATAATAATTGCAGCTTCTTGCAATTTGGATATTGCAGTTTCAACTAAAAATACCAGGATGTCCCACTACATCATGTAAGCAGGAATATATGTGTACAATTGACTTTTGACTCACATTAATATATTAAAGCAGCTTCCAAACAGACAATTATCTAGTGCTCAATGTGAGTATCAGTAGTCTCACACAGTTAAAGACAAACTCTAAATTAATATATTTATAACTGTAATGTAATTGTGTGGTGGTTGCCGCCATTTCATGCAACAGTTGCACTCCATAGCCAGCTGCTGTTGTCACAGTAGTCAGCCGTTTATCCGTAGCTAAATATTTTGCCCCGTTGACACTTTTTTGGTCTGTCTGCTAAGTTTGGCTGAGCTGAAGTCCCAGTTATTGTCACAGTATGCCACTGATCAAGTTAGCAACCACCTTTTTTCAATGAGATGTAAAAATTATATAATTAAACATTTTGTTATTCACTGACATTTAATCATTATAGAACAACATTTAAAAAGTATCTCTTTTTTAAACTAAAACTTTAAGGACTTTAAGAAGAAGGACTAAGATGTGTGAAAAAAACTCAACAGATTTAGGGATTTTAGGAATCATGCCTATTGAGGTTTGTGGGCTATTGTAATATCTGCAGGGCTGGTGGAATAAAATCCAGGTAACTGTAGAGCTAATAAGGGAAGTGGCTTGCCAGTCTTTTCACAATTCCAAAATATGGTGACAGCCTGTATATAGATTTTTTAAAGTTGAATTTAAATATCACTTAACCATAGTATTGAAGATAGCAGATCATTCATAACATTATACATACAAATGATCGAAATCAAATGTATTATTACATTTACAGCCTTCTGTAGATCAGATGTTTCACTTTTGTGTTCAGGATACGTAGGAGATGGGAAAAGAGGTGTCATTCAGGCTATGTACTCCGAGCATCCTCACCCTGGGTTCTGCAGCCATCTTTGCTCAACGAACGCTGGGAATTTTGAGTAGGAGGTACCTGGTGTTAAGCAGTGGTGTAGTGGACGTTGGACGCGGGGGTGTGCCGTAGCCCCACTTATTTGGAGCATGATCTTTCTAATAAATATAAAATCATTGCCAGTGTTATCAGTTGCAAGTGTGTATTTGTTGTAATAATGACGAAAACATAATACATTTCACAGTAATTATAATAAAAAATAAAAACGATTTCCTTAAAAAAGTATGATTCATCATCACGCTCGTGACCCCGCGGTCACTGACACACCCACGACGAGCCAGCTCGCCGCGCCCGCCGATTTTGCGGCAGCTCTTTCCCTCAAGAACACTAACGAAAAAGCTCTATAATGGCAGGCTAACATGTTTTACTTGACTTATTTTCTAAAAAGAATATAATTCACAAGAAGAAAGAGGCTAGCACCGAAGCTACAAGTGAAGCTGCTAGTAATACATCATCAGAAGAGCCCAGTGGCGTAGCTGTGGGTGGGCCCGGGTGGGCCTGGGCCCACCCACATGCACGTCTGGCCCACCCACAGCCAATCAGCGCTTCATAGCGCAGAGCCGGGAAGCCCAGAAGGAAGTGCCACAAACTGCAGTTCATCTAGTGGCCGACAGGGGATGGATGCAAAAAGGAGCAATTCCCATAGACCCCCATGTTAAAATGCCCAACTTTACAGCAGAAATAAACATGTTTCTAGCCTGGATCCACTGCTGTGACGTTGATGTGGAGTGGTGGGTGACAGTGCTTTTTGTTCTTGAAGTCGACAATGATCTCTTTTGTTTTATCGACATTCAGGATCAGGTTGTTGGTGTTACACCAGTCTGTCAGATGTTTCACCTCCTCCCTGTAGGCCTGTTCGTTGTTGTCCCTGATGAGTCCCACCACTGTTGTATTGTCCGCGTACTTTATGATGTGGTTGGTACTGAACCTGGAGCATAAGCATAAGCGCTATCGATAAAAGTAGTAGTACCGTTGTGTACCCTATGTGGATGTCAGTTTTACACACATTCTGAGGCCGCCGTGCCTATGTTTTTTGTTTTCACTGCTAATTTATGCTTATGTTCAATTAGTGCATTAAAAAATAATTAAAATAATTAATGAAGTTTCAGCTCAGACCCCACGCTTAATATGTCTCCCCCTGGCCCACCTACATTTCTCCAGGCCCACCCACACAATAATTCATGGCTACGCCACTGGAAGAGCCGCCTAAAGACGTGGATAATTAGCTGCGCTAGCAACGTTCCCCTGACTAGCTCAAGCTCACCTTTCCCAGAGGTATGGACGGAGGAGATGTGGCGGAGGAAACAAGAGGAATACCCGTGGAGAGACTGCAAAGCTGGGAAACTGGGCTGCAAAGTTTGTTCATCCATTTCGGATTTATCAGTCTTCAAAACCCAAGGTGTGTGTGTGTGAAAAGCAGCGCTGTCTGCTTATTTGCAATGTAGGCTAGGCCTAATCAGAATAATGTCAAGTCCAGATTCAATGTTGTTTGCATAAGTATGGCTATATTTTTAGGACAACTTTGGACATTTTGTTTGTTTGTTATGAGTTTTAAATAGATTTTGAAGAGAGAGAGAGAGAGAGACACACACAGATCATTAGTTAATGGGTAACTACTGTTTTAGTAACGGTAAGGTAATCATTAGGTAATGGGTAACTACTGTTTTTGATTGCGTTCCTTGAGTTTACCGTACCCAAACGGCCTAAGTAATGGTAAGGTAAATCGGATCCACCTCCACCAGTTGATCCAGGGTGGGACCCAAGCCAGCCGAAGATGGCAGGTTTAAAAGTGCCCTGCTGCAGCGGACCATTGCTTCAATCAAAGTCTCCCAGGAACTCCTCATTAAGTAACCATTAACGAATGATTCATTAATACAGTACCCCAGTCTGTTTACCAGTAACTAACCATTAGTTCACTCAGGAACTCCTCATTAAGTAACCATTAACGAATGATTCATTAATACAGTACCCCCCAGTCTGTTTACCAGTAACTAACTAACCATCCATCGCAGTCACTGAGGAACTACTCATTAAGTAACCATTAACGAATGATTCGTTAATACAGTACCCCCCCAGTCTGTTTACCAGTAACTAACCATAAGTTCACTGAGGAACTACTCATTAACTAACCATTAACGAATGATTCATTAATACAGTACCCCCCAGTCTGTTTACCAGTAACTAACTAACCATCCATCGCAGTCACTGAGGAACTACTCATTAACTAACCATTAACGAATGATTCATTAATACAGTACCCCCCCAGTCTGTTTACCAGTAGTTAACTCAGGAACTCCTCATAAAGTAACCATTAACGAATTATTCATTAATACAGTACCCCAGTCTGTTTACCAGTAACTAACCATTAGTTCACTCAGGAACTCCTCATTAAGTAACCATTAACGAATGATTCATTAATACAGTACCCCCCAGTCTGTTTACCAGTAACTAACTAACCATCCATCGCAGTCACTGAGGAACTACTCATTAAGTAACCATTAACGAATGATTCGTTAATACAGTACCCCCCCAGTCTGTTTACCAGTAACTAACCATATGTTCACTGAGGAACTACTCATTAACTAACCATTAACGAATGATTCATTAATACAGTACCCCCCAGTCTGTTTACCAGTAACTAACCATCAGTTCCTCAATCGCAGCCACTGAGAAACTACTCATTAACTAACCATTAACTATCTAGTAGTTCCTTATAGTAACTAAGCACATTTTGTGTACCTTATTGTAAAGTGTTACCACTTTAGCTTTACAGTGCAGTTAGGCTTTCTATATACCCTGTTAACAGCCAAAGATCAAAACTGGTGACCCTGAGTCACAGAGGTGCAGAGTTCAGCAAGGTGACAGCTGAGGGGAAGAAGTGGTTCCTTATGCTACCTCGACACGATGAGAGATTTGCTCTTACACAGTTCACAGCGAAACTGATTGATCATGAGAAGGCCTGCTGGTGCTACAATGGAGGGTCCTGTCTTGTCTCAGAGGGTACTATAGGGCTGTATGTGCAATATTACCTTTAAAGGTGATGATATGTCAATGTTTTATTCATATTTAACTTCTGCTTTCTACCAAGGAGCTAAAGAAAAGTGATTATAGGTTAAACGTCATATTAGCAGCAAGGAGAACCAGAAGTAACGGAATTTGTGTGAAGGGGCGATTCAGGCTGGTAGTAGAACCTCCTGTCTTTTTGATTATCATTGGAGTTGTGATTGTGATGCACCTTTGAAGTCACTGGTTTTATTTTAATGTATATCTTCACAACATCAGCTCAGTGAATTAACATGGTACATTCATAACTGTGATGTTCTAAGGGAAGCAATTACAATGAGGAACAACTCTTTTGAAGTTAGCCAGATAAAATCCAATATGTGTATATACTGTAGGAGGAGAACCAGTACGAGACAAGTTCAGATATAAAAAGCCTCTGTCCTGATTTATCAAGTGAAATCACATGAGCGGTCGTGCTAATACAGACTTCTGTCCTGAAGAAGCACCAGTAGAAAATAATGAATAATCCTAAACATGTGTGGGTTTCTCTGATTTCCCTGGAAAAAGATAAAAGTACATTTATCATGTTTCACCACCCAATAGGTCAACCTTAACTTGAAGCTATTACTTTGCAATTACAGCGGGCACTGATACATGCATAATCACTCATTTGGACTATCGACTTTCCCCATTGGCAAGAAGCGTTGTTTTGCTCCACAGATTTTTAATACTCTGGTGGAATCTAGCACTAATGATTTATTACTCTTCCTGACATGTGACTATTACTGTGGAGCAAACTTTTTTGTATTTATGTTTGCATGTTGTTCGGCAAATTGAATGGATGGTTGTGTGCATTAAGGCCAACTTTGATAAAGTGGCCATTTATTTCTGTTTCAGACCCGGACGATAAACAAACACGTTGTCCTGCTTCCCTTTTCAGTAATTTGATGGATCATTTCACCCGTGTGTGTGTGTGTGTGTGTGTGTGTTTCCAGATACTGCTTGATTGTGAGCATGTGCATGTGATTAGAGTGCTATCCACAATAACAAATGAGCTGAGGAAAACTCATCCATGACTCCTGGTCACGACAAAGTACGAGTGAAGAAGTCCAGTTCAGTCAGACAACTCACGTGTTCCTTTAACATGTTTATTAGAAGCAGCATATAGTTGAGTTTGGCGACTAGGCTCGGGCATCATCACTCCATAGATATACATAGCACGATTAGTGATGATTAAATAACTAACCCCCGAGCCTACAGGTGGAAGCTGGGGTGGAAGCTGGGGTGGTGGTGGGGCAGCAAGCAGCAGCGACGTAGAGGTAGCTGCGGCAATAGCAGCAGCAAGCAATGCATGGAGAGAGATCTGGCAGGTTAAATAGAGCGGCATATTAAGGAGACTGTTTGGTTGGTTGTAGAGTGGCAAGGGGGCGTTATGTATGAATGCAGCATAAGTGCTCGAGTTGACTGCCTGAACTAGCTCGCAGGCTTCGCCCCATTTCTCACAGCTGAGACTTTATTCTGACTCACTGCTGAAACTTATATCACTACATCACATTAACTTCAAGATAACAATGACTTATTTTACAGTGGTCCTGTTAGAAGCTCAAAAACACCTGGCACTTGTTAATGCTTTTGTTATCACATTTTGGCAAGATGTACTGTGAAAGTCATGGTTTTGCCAAGATTCATGTCCCTCTTGCATACACTGCATGCTATTAAATCACAGACATTTTTAAGAGTTGTTTCTGTTAGAGAACTGAACAAATATGCATTCAGACAGGAGTAGATCGGCATCTCAAGAGGCAGACATGAGTATCAAGTAAAGTTGAAAAGGTCAAGGCTCTGACGACGACAGTTATGGAGCAATACTCCAAGAAACCCTGCTCTGTATTTATGTTCTGATAAAAGCTGTCAACAACCCTTTCGAGAAAATGGAAGACATTAGAGCATTCCTATGGATCGAGACACTTTATGGCTGATATACGTGCAATGTCAAAAGGTTATTGTGCTGCATTGTTGAGGCACTGACATTGATTCATTTTTGTAATACTGTTGGCAGAGGTTGATTCTCTCTGT